GAGCTCATTGCTACCGAGATTCTATCATGTCTAGGGATCAGCAGATAGAGCTAGGAAATACGTGTGTGTGCGTGTGTGTGTGTGTGTGTGTAAATGGGTCAGTGTCGATGTCTGAGTGTGTATCTATATACATGTATGTGTGTATATACGTGTGTATCTAATTTTTAAAAATCTGCCCCTCAAAATCCACGAGTTCGTATTGATTCAAATCAAATCCAACACCACAGTGTTCATTTTCTGCATTTAGTTTTGCTTCTTTCTCTAACAGTGAGAAATCTGGTTCCAATTATCCACAACATTTTTCCAAGTCATCATTTGTTGGGATGATTACTCCTAGGAGATTACTCAAGGAGGTTTGTGGGACAAAAAACCATGAATTTTAGCATTTTGAAAAGGTTTTTCCTATAACCTTGATGCCTGACAAATAACTTTAACATGAATAAAATCCTTGATTTATGATTTCTTTCCTTAAAGTTTTTTTTTTAACATCTGCATCATTAGTGCCTTCTCCTGAGGAATGTCCTAGAGAAGTATGATGTCATCAATTCTCTTGCCTCTGTAAATTACTTGGCTTTTTTTTTTGCCTAAGTTCTTGAGGATTTTTTCTCTGTTTAAATAAACTTAATACTTGTGAGTGTTTGATACCAATTTTCCCAGTTTAGAGTGTCCTGTTAGACTCTGCTTCTCCTTTTGGGAGGGGAGGGCAGAGTGGTAGCTGGCGGTAGAGCCCTCAGTTCATGAGGCGGTCTTGTTTTCCGTGTCCTCCAAATAAAACCTTTGGATAGCTTTAGTCTGTTTTTGCCTCTTTGTCACAGAAATTTGGGGGCGTGTTCACACAGTTCCTAGTCAAAGGGCACCCCCTTCTGTCATCATAGTGAAGTACAGTCTTTAGCAAATTGTTAAACTGTTTTCAGGGTTGTTCCACTGCGAGAGGGGTTCTGAGTCCATCGCTGTTGCGGCACTTTTGTCTTATAAGGCCCCTCATGTTCCCTTTGCTTCTTTCCCTCTCCATTTTCAACCTCCCCTTTTGTGATGGAAATTACATACTGGTTTCTCTGGTTTAAAGAACAGTTTTAGATTTATATTTATATTGCTATGCTTGAGGTTGCCCCGTGGGTCTCTTAGGCTTGTCCTTTCTCTTCCTTCTTCTCTTTCTCATTGAATTGGTTGGGGTGACACTGTTTAATAAAATTATATAGGTTTCCGGTGTCCAGTTCTATCTATAATGCATCGTCTGTGTATCGAATTGCACTGTGTTCAGCTTCATTGTTCTTTCTGGCTCTTCAACCTAAATCATCTCCACTGGCCAGTCTTCTGAGTTCACTGTTCTGCCTGCTCAGACGTGATGTTGAACCTCCCCAGAGAGCTTCCTACTTGTTACTGTACTCTTCAACTCTGCAGCTTCTATTTGTTCCTTAATCATTTCTCTCTCTTTATTGGTAGTCTCTGTTTGGCATTGTTCTCATGGTTTCCTTTAGGTCTTTGTCCATTAGCTCTTTAAGCGTATTTAAAATTGTTGATTTAAAGTTTGTGCCTAGTAAGCCCAATGTCTGGGACAGTTTAATTTGCTTTTTCCTATATATGGATCATACTTTCTTATTTATGGCCTTGTAATTTTTGTTGAATATTGGACATTTCGAATAATATGCCAACTCTAGAGATCAGACTCCTCCTCTCCCCAGAGTTTGCGGTTTTTGGTTCTGTAGTTGCTGCTGTGATTTTTAAACCACTTTTCTGCACTAATTTTGTGACGTCTCTTTTCTTTGTTGTGCGTGGCCACTGAAACACCCATTCCATTAACTTAGTGGTCAGCTACTGATTTATCAGAGACTTCCTGAAATGCCAAGACTTGGCTGATTTTTCTTGATCAACTGTTCACTCGTTTGCTGTAAGACCTCGACCAGTTTCCAGCATCCAATAATGTTGATTCCGACAGTCCTTGCTGGTTTATTGACTGATTTCGTGAAGGGATGGGCCTTTGGTGTTCCCTGTCCAGTTTTTCGGACATCACTCACTATTCCACTTTCCTCTAAAAGATGATATTCCATCTCCCTACCTACCTATCTATATTTGCACTATAAAGGAAAAAATATATACCATAAAATGTAAAGGGATCCTGGTAGGAGGAGGAAATAGGGCTATAAGTTAGACTTTTTAAAATACACCTGCTTTGTAGATTTTAGAAAACATTACCTCAACAAACTATTCCCAGAATTATAAACTGCCCAGCTCTGACATTTATTTGGAGAATTGAATTCTGATAGTCTTATTACATATACTACAATAGTAACTATTATGCTAAAGTATGTAATATCAAGGCATGCGACATAGGTAAAGCACTTAGCAAATCAATAAACACTAGCTCCCTTCTACCAATACCTTACCTGGGAGACAAAATAGAATTATTTTACCATCTTTGTTCTCGGTCCACACACAAGGCTTATTGCATCTAATTAGTGAAAACTAAGTCAAAGCTATGATTGTAAACATTTTTCAATAATGAGGAAAAAGGTGCCTGCTAGAATACAGCTTTGTTAGTCTTACACTGTCCTTATGAATATAAAATTTAAGTAAACAGACTTATTTTTGCTACATAAAGAAACACACACACCCCTCTCCTCCCAGGAAGGACACCTGACAGGTGGCTGAGTAAAGTGCACATTAAGACAGAAATATCTCCCATTCTGTTAACACCCCCACTTACCCACATATAGCAAATGGACCCCCTCCGCCAGAGTCCCATGTCATATGTTGCCAACAACTCCTGACCATTTGGCTTCTCTAAACAGCATCTTAAATGCAAACACTACCCTACATCCCCACGGTCACTGCCACAGCTTGCTCCTGCATCTCTGAGCTGGACTACCAAATGGCCAACTCTTTTCTGCCTCCATTCTGATCTTTTTCTAAATTCATTTTCCATTATGTCTGTACAGTGTTTTTGACTAAAAAATATTTTGAATAGTTTATTCAACCTTTAAATATTACTCAACAATTCCTTTGCTTTTATTAATTATTCAGTTGTTTCCCATCATCCACAGTGATTTCTCAAAATGTGTTCCTGAAAGACTCAAGATTCAGCAGAATTGCCTGTCGCCGAGGGTGGTAAGGCAGAAGCCTCTTATCAACCTTATTCTTCAACCTGTCACCACAGTTGCTCGATGTGTTTACAGATCCATGTAAGTTTTTGCCTGGAAAAAAGATTTCCCTAATTTAAGCTGTTTGTGATTTTGCTCCTGTCTCTTCAGATGGACTATTATGGCCTTTTACAAAGCCCTGAAGAACCAGACATTTGGAAGTCCTCAGTTTACTGAACCTTTATTCTTCGAACAGCTATTTCTTCTACGGGTAATGCTTTTCTCTCTGTGCTTAGGAAACCTCTGAAGGAATCTTAGCTCAGAGAGTAAAATAAAAACATAAAGCCCTGGCTGGTTGTAGCTCAGTAGATTGAGCACGGGCCTGTGAACCACATGATCGCGGCTCGATTCCCAGTCAGGACACATGCCTGGGTTGCAGGCCAGTTCCCAGCAGGGGACACATGAAAGGCAAATTTCTCTCCTTCTCTCCTTCCCTTCATGTCTATAGATAAATAAATAAAACCTTAAAAACCCAAACGAAACGTAAATAGCTCCCCAAGCAGTTTCTTCTTTCCATCTCTGTTCCTTTAGCACTTTGGACATTCTATTACAACCTTTATCATTCTTAATTTTTTTCACCATTTATTAATATGTGTGTCATCGGACAAGTAACTTAGCCTCTCTGAGGCCTTAGTTTCTTCATCTGTAATATAAGCATAAATTCAGTAAACGTATTACCCAGCTTACCGAGATGTGGAGAGGGTTAGATGTGGCGGTGCATGGAAGGCCTAAGAGTGCTTGGCACATTAGATTGACTGAAATATTTATTAGACGTGACTACTGCTAGTAATACCACCACTGCCACTACGCACCGTGTGGGTCTACAAACGGGGAGCTATGGAGGATTGTTTCTGCACCCCTAGCACGTAGCTCGTAGAAAAACTCAATGTGGGAGTTTTTGAAATTGACCTACACTCTGTAATATGCTATGCACATAGTCATTCATTATTATTCTCAGGTTAAAACTGTTTTCAATGCCTTCAGCTACTTCTTTTGGAAACAGATGTTATTTAATGTGCAATTTCTAATTTCCTGAGTATGCTTCTCCTAGCAAATTACAGGTTTATTATCTGATTTATTTAGAAGTGAGAGGCAATTTCCTTTTACCTAATGTATTTCAATAGACTTGTCTAATTAACCCACTGTAACAGTTAATTGTATGTGTCAACTCATTTGGGCCACAGAGCTCAGATACGTGGTCAAGCATTATTCTGGATGTTTCTGTGAGTACTGAAGGGGGGTTAACATGTAAATTTGTGGACTATAGTAAAGCAGATACCCCTCTATAATGTGAGTGAGCCTATGCACGCAATTAGATGAAACCCTAGACAGAACAAAGACTGGCCTCCCCCAAGCAAAGCAGAACTCTGTGGCAGGCAGCCTCCGAAATTAGACTCTAGCGCCTGGCCCTTCCTTGGGTCTCCAGCCTGACAGCTTTTAGACTGCAGCTTTTTGGACTTGCCAGCCTCCATATGCACACACGACAATTTCTTAAAATAAATCCCTATGCCTCTGTATAGTACACACCAGTGGTTCTCTACCGCGGTACACTGGTACGCCACAACAATTTTCCAAATGGGCAGTACCTGATTATTTAGACAGGAGCACTGACCTCTCTTCCTTTGGATTGATGGGAAATGACAACAGCCAACACAACAACAGGAGTCTGGTATAAATGAATCAAAATCACACCTAAATTTTTTTTGTCAGATCAGCAAAAAAGTATATTTTTTGGTTTGCTACAGAATTTTAGTAATTAATTTATGTGTGCCATGAGATGAAAAAGGTTGAAAATCACTGGTAGAGACTAATACACCCACCTAGAGAATATATGAAATTAAGTTATAGACCAGTCTACAATCATTTAAAGGAAAAAAATCTTTATTTAGAAAGTTTAGAATTAAACATACAAAGATGAACAAAGATGAACATAAACACTGACAAAATCCAGTGACAATACAACATACGGCTCTGAGTGTGTAACATCACTTAAAAAATACATACGCAATCTGACAGATTTATAACGACAGTCCCTTCAGTTGCTCGTCGTTCACATAGAAGCTCCGTGAAGGATCGTCACTTGGGGAACTCTCCTGGTTAGAGTCCTCACCAAATTCAGAGCGTCTGGTCAAAGCGGATGGACATGCCAGGTCTTGGCATAATGAGCAGAGACACACGGCCCGCGAGCTGGTGCTCTTCAGATAAGGACAGTCCGAGTCGGGTCCAGAGCCACCCTCTTGCTGAAGAGCGGTCTTCACTGCTGAGGGCACTGGGTCTCCGGCGTGGACTTGGAGGACACGTGCAGAATAGGGTGTGATTTCTTACCAGGTTTCTTTTCCAACCTGCCTGCAGTTTCTTTCCCTTCTTTAACTTCTGTTTGAAGCTTCGATTCAGCATCTAACCTACAGGCATTAAAGCATCCACTCTGAATTCGAGTGTGGTCACGAAAAATGCAAGAAGGGAGCATTCGCTAGAATAACGGGCCTCTAATAAGACATGGTGATTTGTTTTATGTATACAAGGTAAAAAACCGACTCCAATACCATTAAGAAAACTAAATCACTGACTCTCTAAAAATTCTTTTTATGTCAACAGACCGACTTTTTAAAATGTCTAAAGAAGAATCTTTAAGGTAAATAGAGAGTCGTGGCAAAGCCTAAATTAAAGAATTAAAATACAATGAGGGCACCTATCATAATAAGCATACCTAACAAGAAAATTACAATGTTATAGCACTAGTTTAATGTTACCAGGTCATACAAAAGGCAAAATGCAATATGAAAATAACATGAGATCCTGGGCTACGTAAATAGATGTTGGTTAAGACACATACCATATGATTTTGCTCATATGTGGAATCGAACCAACGAACTGAACAAGGAGAATGGGGACAGACTCACAGATGGACGGTGGGATGCATGATAGTGGGGGCAGGTTGGGGGCAGAGGGATTGAGGGCAAAGGAAAAAGGACTCTCGGACACGGATAGCAGTGTGGTGACTGCCAGGGAGAGCGGGGTATCAGGGGACTCAATGGTGATGGAAAGAACACAGAAAAGATTACATTTTTAAAAAACCTCAAATTGAGGTTCAACTAACACAATGATAATTAAAGAAAAATAAACAGTGAAGAGACATTTCCCTTCCGTTCACCTTCTCTTACCTTTTGAGAGCTATTATTCTATTTTTTAAAGGCCCAGACCCTTAAGACGTAAATTCTTATAGACATACAAGTCTTGACATTAGTCACAAGTTCAAATATGCAGAAACTAGAAGATCTGAAGTTTGATGTGAAATGAAAATAAATTTACCTGTGCTATTTTAAAATGTCAAAATAGGTATTGAAGCCCATTCTTAAAGATCAGGATAAACAATCTCAAAAGACATAAAAAAATTTTCCCTAAAAGTCTCCTAAGGGTTGAAATTTCTTAGACAAATGGAAAGCCATTTTAGGGGACAAGTTAATTTTTCCTTCGTGACCGCTCTTGAACCAGGAAAACAGTAATTGCTCACTCATCCACACCAAGAAAACGTTTAGAGAGGTATAAAACTGGTATTTCTGCTTCGTGAAACAGAAAAGTATAACTTAAAAATAATGCCCTTATGCAGAAGTCCTTTCCCTCACAATTGTTTTAGTGTTTTCAAGTGTCCAAAATGCTGAAGGTGACAGAAGACCTTGTGCCGCGCACGCGACACTGAGAACAGAGATGAAGAACAGCCGAGCTCGGGCGGCGACAGAGGAGAGAAGCAGAGAAGCCTGCCGCGTGCCGTGGGGGAAAGAGCGCACTGACCTGGGAGAGCCCGGGGAGTTTCCGCTTCTCACGCTCTCGGTGGGAACTTCTCTAAGTTTCACGCACTTCTTCTCCTTCGTGGGCTGAGTACTCACGGGCAGACTTGGGCGAGGGGAGAGAGTGCCCCCTGGTGTGTTTACAGAGACTGTCTTTTCTAACTGCCCGTTGTTACCTTCCAAGTTGCCGGCACAGGACTGCGCCGCCTCTTGCTGACGTGGTGATCTAGGAACTTCTTCCCCCGCGGCACTGCGGACACGCACGTCGTTAGGGGTTCCTACATCCACGGGCAGGACCTCACGCCTCTTTTTGAGTATGGGCACCTCCATTCTCTCTGAGAATAAAAAATCGTCAAAAATATATCCAGTTAATAAAGGCACAGTCCACAAAAAGAGGTACAATTAGTTATGCATTTTTCCTTTCTTTTCACCAATCTTTTAAAACCCGGTCATCTCCTTATTAAAATACGGGGTCTGTCCAGAAAAAGTCCAACCATTGTTAATATAATGAGAATGGGTAGCACGACATCAATGTAACCTGGCAGCCAAGGAGAGTGGACTGGAATGTGCATGTGTGAACAATGACGACTTCACTGTACTACTCAGGGGGGGCGGTAGATGCCACTGAGTGAGCCTGTGTACTGTGTGGCCGTCTCATTCAATATGACTGAGCGGGTAGAACAATGAATCTGCATCACGTTTTGCATTAAAGCTTGAACATTCCTCAGTGGAAACTATTCAAATGATTCAGAAGGACACAGCTATGGCAACTACTGACTGGCAGCTTCATCATGACAACACGCCCACCTGCATTACGTCTCGTGCAGAGTTTTTTGGTGAAACATCAAATCGTCCAGGTGACTCAGCCCCTCAACGGCCCAGATTTGGTGCCCTGTGACTTATTTTTTCCCCGAAACTAAAATCACTCTTGGCCCTGGCTGGTGTAACTCAGTGGATTGAGCGCAGGCCTGCAAACCAGACAATCACGGTTCGATTCCCAGTCAGGGCACATGCCTGGGGTGCAGGCCAGTTCCCAGCAGGGGACGCGCGAAAGGCAACCGTACATTGATGTTTCTCTCCCTCTTCCCTTCCCTCCCCCTCTAAAGATAAATAAATAAAATCTTAAAAAAAAATCACTCTTGGAAGAGATTTCAGACTATCAATGAGATTCATGAAAATACGACAGACCAGCTGACGGTGACTGGGAGAACTGTGTGAGGTCCCGAGATGACCACTTTGAAGGGGACTAAAGAGGCATCATTGTCCTGTGTGCAATGTTTCTTGTGTCTTGTACCTTCTTCAATAAATGTCTCATTTTTCATATCACATGGCTGGATACTTTCTGAACAGACCTCATGTATAATCTCTTTTTTATTGTCCTTTTTCATGGATTCCATTAACTTTGTCTATTACAGGTTATCTGGCTGTACATTTTTTCTTCGGTAACTCAATGTATTTTGGCCCTGTGAACACCTAACTGCTCTTTGCTGGTGTTGTGGTGAAAGGTGCACGGGCATCATTAGAGCTCGGTGTGGAGGAGAAAGGACACAGCAGGGAGAGTCAAGGAATCCAAGTGCAAGCACTACTATACCCACTTCGCAGCCGGATGACCTTGGGGAAGCACTTAGCCTCTCGGAGATTTTCTTTATCTATCTTTAAAATGGAAATTAAAAGTACCCACTTCACTCAGTATTGTGTTTTGTAAGGATGAAATGAAAAGAACAGTCTCCAAAGATGATAATTTGTACCTTTTAGCCCCACCTACAAAGCACATTAAAAACCTGAGTACTTCTACCACGGATACGTCCCCAGTTCAAACCATGTTACCATGTCTCACGGCAGACGACTACAATGGCCTTCTACCCCCCACTGCTTAATGTGATGTGTGACATCACTCCGTCCCAATGCAGGTCCTTATCCAGCCACTGACTTAATCGCTCTAGTATGTCTTCTCTATCCTCATACCAATGTGTCTTCCATTTTCAAAATCAAACCTTTAGTGAAGTTGGAGAAACCATGGTGGAGTGTGGGGGTGGTCTTCCTGCTCCACCCCGATGTTTCAAAGTCATTATTTTCCCTTTCTCTTTCACTGCTCCTTTAAAATCCACATCATCTAGATTCCCTATACAGCCTCAAGTCCCTTTGCTAGGGGCCTTCAAGTTCAGCAACCTTCGAAATACAAAATGGGTAATTCTCAATCAGGAGAACCTATTACAACCAGGGGAGAGGAAGAGATGAGAGAGAGAGAAAGAAGCCTTTTTAACTAAAAATGTTTACTATTGCTACAACCGCCCCACTGTTGTTGAGGCATGTGAACAGTGTAGGGGCAAAAACTGCTGAAAATCTATAAGCTAAAAGATGTAACCACACTCTTTGTGTAAGAACCATCATATTCTTAGACTTTTTTACCTTCGGCCTTTCATTTCTTAATTTACAGACAGTAAAATCACTCTCTGTATTTTCTAAGTGATTCTACTTGCTAGATGCTCGATAATATCCGCCCCACGATTCTTCCTTAACAACAGAATCCCCAGTATTCAGTTGGGAACATGGACCCTGAGTATCAAGACTGCATTTCTCGACTTTTCTTGTAGGCAGACGAAGCCATGGCTAAATTCAGCTCAAGACGTATGCCGAGCAACAATGCAAACAAAGCCACATCGTGCCGCTGGACACCCTGAGCAGGCCGGGGAAGCCTCTTCCAGACTTTCATCAGGGGGAAGACTAAGCGCCTGTCTTGTTCAGTCTCCATTATCTGAGGCTTCCTGTCAGCGGTGTTAGCTGAAATAGCGCCCAGACGCCAGGTGCCTCAACAAAATTAAATTCTGGTGCTACACAAGAAGCTGCTGTCGTAAAGGGAACAGTCTCAAATGGCAAGGCTCTACTATGTGAATATCAGAAAGAATACCGATTCATGTATACTCATGCACACCCAGTGCCCGGTTCTCTCTCGATTTTCCTACATTTTGTGGGAGTAAGTTTATTTTACTAAGTATAGATACGCAGCCACAAATTAGTGTGTAATGAGACGTGCATAAAGCTGCCGTGAGAAGAAAATTTGTACGACCTCTCGGAGCGTCTCCTGATTAAAAGACAACGCGACACACGTACCTTCGGGCTCATACTTCAGCCTTAACTCATCTATTTTCGCTCTCAGTCTCATATTCTCACTCTGGGAAAACTGGAGGCATCTTTCATTGGCAAAAAGTTTTCGCTCGATATCCAGAGCCCGCTGGCTCTCAAATAATGCCTTCATTCGCTGTATGGACAATTCACCTTTGGTGCTTTCATTTTCTTTGCTATAGTAATAAAAAAAGGGGGGAACCAAGAAACACTAAAGTAACAATATAAACAAGTGTAGTTGTTAGTGTAAATCTTCTATTATACATTTAAACTTAGTAAAAAATTACATTTCCTTGGGGTATTTGGTAACAAAGAAAAAACATAAGCTTTAACAATGGTATTTTTAAATAAAATAAAAACCTCACACTGGCTGGTGTAGCTCAGGGGATTCAGCGCAGGCCTGCGAACTGAAGGATTGTGGTTTGATTCCCAGTCAGGGCACGTGCCTGGGTTGCAGGCCAGTTCCCAGCAGGGGACGCACGAGAGGCAACCACACACTAATGTTTCTCTCCCTCTCTGCTTCCCTTCCCTCTAAAGATAAATAAATAAAATCTTTAAAAAGTAAATAAATAAAATAAAAACCTCATGCGTCCTCCAAAGGACATGGACAAAGGAGGGAAAGTCCACATTTATTCATGTGCAAATAAATTCCTCTAAATTTAAAACTATACAATATTTATTTACTCCTGAAAAATTTAGATCATAAGAACATTTTCTATGATAAAGTTCTTTTCACTTACCAATCTAAAAGGCTGAACAGAAAAATAAAAACATTTAATTATCATTGAAAGTATTTTTTCTTCAATAATCAGCACTAACTATATCCTGACTAAATCTCACTTAATGCCCAGAGATATTTTTGTTGCTTTTCCTTTTTGGGATTTTCTTTTGGCAATATTAAAACAAAAATGTGTAGTCACTGATACCACTTATCACACACAAGTCAAGCGTCTCCACCTTCCTGTCCAACCAACACTTACTTTGAGTTGTCGAGCTTTATCTGAAGTAAATCTGTGTAATAGGTGGTATCTTTCAGAGCAGCAGAGTCGTCTGAAGGCTTAGATTCCAGACTTTCATATAAACTCTAAATCAAACAACACTTCTTATTATTTAAAATAAATAACAGACTAGGTGAGTATATGTTTACTAATAATAACCGCTTGGTGGACTAATGTCCACCGCTTATTGGACATTTATCACATAGCAGGCACTGTGCTAAACGCCAGACGCTGACCTCATTTACCTCCGGAACTAGAAACAAGAGCGAGTATCCCTCTCATCCGCACAAGGGCACGGGTCTAAGATGCTGCAGGCAGGTAAACTGAGAAGAGAGATCTGAACCCAGGTCTGTGCAAAGCTGACGCCTAACACCACCTGTATCCTCCGGTTTCCCTCTCCTTTTAAAATGTTAGAGATACACACTCACTGAGTTTAATTATGGCTTTTATGCCGTAAATTAGAATACTATGCAAAAGAGAGTGGAGATCCGTAGTTATTTTTGGTGACCACTCTTCTGAGATTCTGAGTGAATCTCTGTATGATTTCTCTATGGGAAAAAAGGTATGAAATTGCTTAAGAAGTTGTAAACTATTTTAAAGATTGCAGGGTAAAACTTCCTGGTTAAAGCCATACTCTTCAAAGCATAAGGCTAAGCCTCCTGGCGGGCCACATTAGCTAGTCAATTGATGTGCTGCAAATTTAACCAGAACAGTCCTTTCAACAGTTCTTATTATAGAAAGAAAGAAGGTTACAAACATTTAAAACTTTATAATGTACTATTGGCTACAACTGAATATGCCTAAGAGGTTAACATTTAAAAAATGTGTCGTTTATAAACTTTAATTAGTTCTCTAGTTAGTGAGAAGATGTATGTGCTCCCAAAGTTAATTTATAAATTTAACATAATTCTAATAAAAAATACCAGCAAGCTTTTGGAGAGCTACACTAGATATTCATAGAGAAAACCAAACATGCAGGAGTAGCCAGGAAAACATTGGGACTGAAAAGCTATTCCTGAAAAAAATACATATGCTGATTCTACTCACTTCACACAAATCCAAAGTGAGGAATAACCTGCAAAGCAACCAGCTTACTCTTCAAAATATCCAAGTTCAGGACAGACACAGACCAAGGAACTGTCTGGATTCAGAAACACTGAGGGGACTTGATAGTTAAATACAGAGTGTGATCGGGGACTGGACCTGAGAAAGGAAAGCACTTGGGGCACTTTTGTTTTGCTATAAAGCACATTAGCAGTAACTGGTAAACTATATAAGGCAGCGCAACTAATACACTCATCAATGTTAATTTTCTGATTTTGATCATCGTACCGTGATTACGTAAGAGAAGGAACTTCAATAATGTTGAGGTCCAACTTACTATCAAATGTTTCAGAAAAAAATATACATACAGCGAGAGACAGAAAATAATAAAGCAAATGTGGTAAAACTGATAATTGGGGAATCTGGGTGAAGGGTATAGAGGAACAACTGTACAACTTTTCTGGGAATCTGAATTGACTTCAACCATCTTTTAAGCAGTAGTTCAGTACAGCCTTCTATGCATTACAGTTGCCGCACAATGTCGGGCAATGTGACAAAACCCCTGGTGTACTGGTTAAAAACCGGGAGTGGGATAGCTCTGGAAAACAATGAACCGCTGATGACATGCAAGTAGAGGAATGACTCCCCCTGGTGGCAGGCGGGGTTGGAGACCAACACAAGAGCACAGCACGCGTGATTCCCTTTCTGGGACGTCCAGGAGTAGTCTGTGCATCTAACACTGACTCAAAAGTAAGAGACGTTAACGTCCACTGGGTTACACAGTATAGACGGGCACTGTAAGCCGTGACTTACATGTAATAACAAGTCCGAGGGAGGTTTAGTCTGGCTCTACCAACAGAAGCAACAGTCGAAATCAGTAAAAAGCAAAAAGAAACTCAAAGAGAAAATTAATTTAAATATTGGTCACTCTCCACTGAAACCATAAATAATTATACAACAAAGAAGCTATTCAAGTTAAAAGTACTGAGATATTCAAACCAACATTTAACTGCATGCTTAAGAGGCGTTACACATACCTTAAATTTCTCGAGATTTCTAATTTCACCTAATAGATGTTTAACTTCACCATTCTTCTGCTCCAACATGGCAAACAGCCGTTCCTGCTGCTCGAACTCAGTCTGAGACCCTTTCATTTGTAGCAACGTGGCGATTTGTAACTGGAAAAAAATTGTCCCTCCATAAAACTGAGTGGGGGAAAGGAAGTTTCTGATAACTATATTTCTGGAACAATACTACTCTGAATTCATTTTAGAAATTAAACTAATGAGCTATTCTTTTTCTTAAAGATTTATTTTCAGAGAAAGGGAGAGGGGAGAAAGGCAGAGAAACATCAATTGGCTGCCTTTTGCACGCCCCCAACTGGGGGCCTGGCCCACAACCCAGGTTTGTGCCCTGCCCAGGAATCAAACTGGTGACCTTTCAGTTTGCAGGACAGTTCTCAAGCCACTGAGCCACACCAGCCAGCGCTAATTGGCTATTTCTAGTCTAATAATCGAATAACTTGGGAACATTTATATCACTAAGTTGAGTGACTTATTTTTGACTACTTATGAGTGATATCTGAAGTCCGTAACAATTATTTGGACTTCTGAGAAACTAACTGAACTGCCTGGCTGTGTTCAGGAAGCGCATCACTGAACTGGGAAACACGCCTGGACAAATGATGCACTGTGTTCATCACATGCCCTCTCTTTAGGGTGTGGTGGGGTCCCCCCAGATTTTAATTAACTGCAGTGGTATTAGGTGGGGAAGGTATTAAACTATTCACATTCCTGAAGCACAAGGATCGGAAGCAAAAGGTAAAGGCAATCCAAAGGTACTAAGGAAATATTCCATGTAAATATGTTTATTTTTAAGGGCAGCAATCAACTTAACAAATTATGACCCCACCTAAACCTAGACTTGCATAGCAATTAAAAGGGAATTAGCTAAAATCTATACCTAGTATTTCTTCCTGCCTCCAGAAATTTCTGGAGATCTAAAAAGTGTCGATTTAAAGAGAGTTTTGAGTAAAGCAAACAATGACAAGGGGCAGATGTGGTTACAAGGAAGAGAGAGATATTCTATTATTTTAAAAGATCCACTTGTTTGTTCCTGCTTCAGAACAGATGCTGGACACACCGAGCCTAAGAAGGTCCAGAACGCTGCTCGTGTCTCCAGACAGCTTTGGATCTCCTGGGAATGTTGGGAGATTAATAGCGTAGGAGCCCAACAAACACTAAGAGAAACAGAGCAAGTGTGAGAATATTTACAAGGCAGTCATTCCCAGAAAGGGGAGAGAGAGCCTCAGTGAACCAGGCAGCACAAACTTCTTAGAAATAAAAGCCACAGCTATTGTTTTATAAGTCAGCACTTCTTCATTTGCAAAGCACCACGCCAGCATTTTTCTCTGCTTTCATTTAACTCGAGGGCAATTCTAAGAGGCAGGTTCTATCATCTCTACGGATGAGGTGACCAATGCTCTGAAAAGTAAAAACACTTGACCAAAGTCCCATGGCCAGCAATGACAGAATGAGGATCAGTCCTAAGTTTGTCTAACACTGACCTTTCCCATTTCGTTGGTAAACCTCATCATCCTAAACAAAAGGTAGGAACCCTTCTGGACTCTGAGTTACCACCTTAGGAGACTGAGGCACAACAGATCAGTGATCAGGCTGGTGTGACACTGAAATCCTTCTGATTTCCATGGTGTTCTGTTACCATCTATCTGGCTAACATGATGACCAACAAACCCTTAAAATTTAAAGGGCCTATGTACTTGACCTGAGAAATTACAAGGAAAGGAAATACAAATGTTACCCTACCTATAAGCTTTTGGGGGTGAACTGAAGAACAATGAGAGGTAGTTTTAGCTGAAGTGGGGCTAGGCTCGGAAAGACACCAAGCCCGCAGCAAGAAAAAAAAAACATTTCTTTTTCCCGCACTCCACAGAGAAAGATTTATTCCTATCTGGCAAGGCTATTAAGTAACTATTTAAAAACATCAATCAGCCCTTGCTGGTGTGGCTCAGTTGGTTGGCACATTATTCCCTGCATGGAAAGGTCACAGGTGCAACTCCCAGTCAGCACACACACCTATGTTGCGGGTTCAATCCCTGTTCGGGGTGCATACTGGAGGCACCTGATCGATGTTTGTCTCCCTCCCTCCCTCCCTCCCTCCCTCGCTCTCTAAAATCAATAGGCATGTCCTTGGGTGGCAATTAAAAAAAATCAATGGATACTAAACATATAACTAAATCTTCACTATAGGACTTTTAAAAATGTAAATGGATCTTTTGCTCAATTTTAAAATACTGATTTTCCAAAATCATGCAGTTCTAGAAATAATTTTTTAAGTACATTCCTGGAAGGAAAAGATGCTTTCTTTGATATATCTATGCATGTAATGCTGATACAAAATAGGTGTAGTAAACCTTTTTTGGTGACGGTGATGATTCTGTACCTTCATTCTCTGCATCTGTTCTCTGTTAAATGCATTTTGCTTCTTTAGTGACTGATACTTGATTTTCATACTGATAAGCTGACGTTCCATCGCTGCCCTTCGATCTTCCACCTAGAGAATATCCACATGACTAATTATGCTTGAACTAAGTGAAGTGCCAGTTTAATCAACAGAATGCCTGTAAGTACCTCTGCAAACAAGGAGTTGCCTTTACTGTTGGGGTCCAAGGCTTGCTGGAGGGCTTGGTCTAATTGCACTTGAAGATCTTGATTTGCTAGACGTGCTTTCTAAATTCAGAAGAAAACAGTTTAGCCAATAGAGATCAGATTAGCCAGAAAACAACCTATTACAAATGGGAAAAGACAAAGTTACTGCAATCATAACACCTCTAAGGCACTGCAGTAAGAAACTGCCTCTTTCTCTCGGTCCTCTTTTTCTTCCATGAGCCGGTCGACCTGGCGCATTAAATTGGAATTAATAAGTTCCAGTTGTTCTTGTCTGTATTGCAGTTCATTCACTTCTTCTTGGAGGGTGGTCTATTCAACAGAAATTGAAAAAGAGGAAACTCTTGAATAATCCTTTATTTAGCTGCTTCTCAGTTTATCAACAATGACTCACACCTGAAACTGAAAAACTAGTTAAAGTGTTCAGGTACATAATAAAATAATAAAAGCTACTAAATTTTTCAATAGGGAACAAAACATAAGGCTCTAGAGACTATCTTTCTTTTCTATAAATTTAAGGCTTTAGTTTTTAATTAACCTTCCCTGCAATGAAATACAGTACATTCATATGCACATCGACTTCCAAGGCAACGTTTTGTATTGGGCTATTTTTTAATGTTACAAACTAGAACCAGAGTAAATGTTTCTAAATTCATCCAGAGGTTTCATTAATCTAAAGTCTGCCTTACATAATCATGTAAACAAAGCTTTATTATGCATGAAGTCATCTACTTAAGAACTCTGTAAAACATTTTTTTAGTTAGATCATAGTTAGTCCAAAATAACTCAGCCTTAAAACTAGTTCATAAGGATTATTACAAAAACATGTAAAAAGTATGCAAGCGAAAAAGAAAACCTGAGAACACATATGCCATAACAATTACCCTCACGCTCTCCGCTTCCGTCAGTTCAACCTGAAGGGCGAGCACCTCTGAGGACATGGTTTCGTGTGCGCGTTCAGACATCACCCGCATTTCCTCTGACTTCTGAGACAGGAGTTCCTTCTGATGATCGACTTTGTGCTTCAGCTGCTTTTCACTAAGCCTAGCTTCGTCTAATTCCGCTTTCAGTTTCTCTAACTAAAGTTTAAAACAATTGACAGTTCTGTTAATTAACAGGTAACTGAAGGTCATCAGAACACACAATTGTACAACTTGTCCTGATATCTGTAGGATAACTGTTTTGGGAGACAGTCAACCTGAACAAAACTATTTAATAACTCTTTATAAAATGTCACAGAGTTGCAAATCTTGGAAAACTAGCATACACAGCTTTCAAATGAACTAACTTACAGCAGAAGGACAAAGCTTTAGGGTCAGGCCTAGGTCTAACCTGTCTCAGTGTCACCTCTCGTTCGTAAAACTGGGAGAGATTACACCACCATCACAGCCCTCAGCTCAGGTCACGTGGGTACAACTTCAGCACCATGCCTAGCATTTGCTACCTGGTTTCTGCTATCAATAAAAAGCTTTTGCTTGTTGTTCAGGGTTATGGTGATCATCTCCACTGAATGACCTTCAACAGGGTTTCAACATTCTTAGAATACACCCTGATACTCTTTTCTATTTATACAACAGCCTCTTAGCTTGATTTGCTTTCCCTTTTCTATTTTCATAATGTGAAATAAAATTTCAACCAAATGATTTCTGCAGAAATGGGGCCATCTTTCTGAAAACACTACTGATTGACTCAAACACAATATGATGGGACTGTTGGGAGTTCCGTATTTGGCCGAGGTCAGGTATCTTTGAAGTGACACGTCTCGTTACAAACATACAAAGAGTCCACCTAAGTAGTCAGGGTAGGTCTGCATTCCTGACACCTTTGGCTGCTGTGTGAAGGGTCGGTGGCACAAACAGCAATGAGAGAAGCAGGCTACCGTGAAGAACAGGAGGGAAACAATGGTGGTCTGAACTAGAGTGGCAGTCGTGTGGATGGATGGTGTGTAGGTCAAATTCTTAGAACTTATGTGGGAAATAAGTGAAAGACGGCAAATAAAGTTCCAAGTTTGGGGCCCAAGTGATTTGAGAACATCAGCAAGAGTTAAAATATCCAGTTACTAAAATTAAGCAACTGTATTTCCTTAGTGGAATGCTATTTAAACAAGTTCCATAGGTACACTCGTGTTCCTCAGTGTGGCCACTCCTCACATTATGATGAAAGCGCTCTTGCTCTCGGCTCTCTGGTGTAGCTGGTGCCAAGAAAACCTTCATCACCCGAAGTTCACAGATTACTGCATAAGCACAGGACATTTTTGCTCTAAAATACATAGATATGGAGTGGACCAGAAGAAAGCAAATAATGGCCAAACAGAAAAGAGTCAAGAAGCAAGAATTCAAAGAAATGAGGAGAGGCTTAGGAACCTCCAGGACATCTTTAAACGCTCCAACATCCGAATTATAGGGGTACCAGAAGGTGGAAAGGCACAGCCACCAGTGGAAAACTTATTTGAACAAATAATAAAGGAGAATTTCCCCAATCTGGCAAAGGAAATAGACTTCCAGGAAATCCAGGAAGCTCAGAGAGTACCAAAGAAGTTGGACCCAAGAAGAAACACACCAAGGCATATCATCATTAAATTAGCCAAAATTAAAATGAAGGAGAGAATCCAAGAAGCAGCAAAAGATAAGGGGACAATCACCTACAAAGGAGTTCCCATCAGACTGTCAGCGGATTTCTCAAAAGAGACCTTACAGGCAAGAAGGGGCTGGAAAGAGCTATTCCAGGTCATGAAATCCAAAGACCTACAACCAAGATTGCTCTATCCAGCAAAAATTTCATTTAGAATGGAAGGACGGATAAAGTGCTTCTCAGATAAGATCAAATTCAAGGAGTTCATCATCACCAAGCCCTTATTGTATGAAATGTTAAAGGGATTTATCTAAGAAAAAGAAGTTAAAGAAACATGAACAGTGAAAGGACAACAAACTCACAGTTATGAACAACCACACCTAAAACAAAAGCAAACTAAAAGGACAGCTAGATCAGGAGTGGAAACATAGAAATGAAGATCTCAAGGAGGGTTAGCAACAGGGGAGTTGGAGGAGGAGAAGGGGGGAGAAGGTACAGAAAATAAGTAGCATAGACAGTAGATAGCAAATAGATGGGGGGGCAAGAATAGCATGGGAAATATAGAATCTAAAGGACTTGAGACACATGGTCATAAACTAAAGGGGGAGTAATGGTGGGGACGGGGGGAAGGGTGAAGGGGAATAAAGGGGGGAATAGAACAATTGTAATGGCATAATCAATAAAAAAATTAAAAAATAATAAAATAAAATACATAGATATCCAAACCTTATTTTTTAGCTCATGTACTTCCTGTCCATGGGTTCTGCTCAGTTGTTCTTCTAGTTTCTCCAGGTGCATTTTTTGATCTTGTTTTATGGCTTCGCATTCCGAGCTCAAACTTTCTAACATTCGACTCTTGAGCTCAACTTCTCTCTGAAGAGTGTATTTTTCTTGTTCATAACTCTGAAAGCAGATTCAATTCCAATTCAACTGCATGAGAAAAACTTAAGCCAGCACATATAAGCAGTTCTCACCCTTGACTGTTTCATTCCCGCTTTATATATTTGCTGCTTTCCAAGTAACGGTCGCGTGTTAAATCTGGAATAATTTTGCAGCTAATCAGTCTAAAAAGTTTAAACCCCCCCTGAGGGGTAATTTGAGACTATGTTTGAGTACATTCTAGCGATACAGTAATTAGTTCTATAGCCTGTCAAGAAAGTAGGAAGTGTACGATGGTATGTCCACGTGTCAGGTAATCTCTGCTAGAAAAAAAATGAATAGCACTTAAATTTTCCTAGTGAGAATTACTTCATTTCATAATGATGTGCTTCACTTGTGGTTCTGAACAAAAGGAAGCAACAGCAGACTAGGGGTGAAGTGAAATATGAAGTCAGTCCATAGAAACACACATGACTCGCTGAATGAACACAGTGTGGAGACAAAAGCAGTGTTTAACATGGGTTTTGCTTACTGGCAAGAAAGCTTAAAGATAGAAGGGGCATCAGGTCCAACTCCTTCAACAAACGTTTAAAAAAATCAGATAAAATTAGATTAAATAAAAAGAAAAATTAAAAAATAAGAGTTGCCATTAGTTCTTTACCTGCTATACATAAACTCTGAGATCAAATGTGTATGTTACCGAGCACCTACTAAACAAAACTGATTTATTCATTCTTTGAATAACGTGTGCCAGACACTTGGGACACAACAGCGAACAAGGCTGAACAGCGCCCTCTCTGGTGGTACTTTATGACCGGGGTGTAATTAGCACTACAGAGGACTAAGAGTGAATGATGCGGCTTTACAATGCACAGTCAGGGGAAGGGCTCTCTGCTGAGGTGCCATCTAATGAAATGTGAAGGCTGGGAACTCCACCCCTGCAGGTGGGGCACGAACCAGTCAGATGGAGGTACCGGCTTGTGCAAAGCCCACAAGGCAAGACTCTTATAGCTAAGGACAAGGGCAAGTAGTCTGAGATGAGAGGTAAGTTTGGCAGGGCTCAGATCACACAGATACCTGCAAACCCAGGTGAGGAGCTCGATTCTGCTGTAATGTTATGGGAAGCCAGTGTGTGTTTTTTAGAGGGCTGTGTGTGACATGATCTTTTATGTATTCTTCAACAACCAGGTGGCTGCTGTGTACGAAGAATGAATGAAATGAGGGGAGCAGGCCACCTGGTTAGAAGGCTACAAGGGTGGTCTAGGGAGAGAGGATGGCAGTCTGCACCAGACTGGCGTTAACAGAAATGAGTGTTTTGTAGGTCAAGTGCTTAGAGCTTACTAATGGATTAAATACAAAAAAGAAGGGGAAAAAAGATATTGAGTAAAACCATTACATTCAGGCTCAAGCAACTGGATGAATGTTATACATCTAGTAAATAGGCTAAAGAAAATGGCAAGAGAATGTTTGGTCAGTGGGCAGAGAATCAACTCTTCAGTTTACATTAGGTTTGAGATGCCTATTAGCGGGCAGTGGAATATACAGTGGAAGAAAGTCTAGACTTTAATGGAGAACCAAGGACTGGCCAAGGACTTGGTGTCCTGCCACGGAGCGCTCAGATGTTATCCAAGGCTGTGATGCAAGCGAGGTCGCCCAGGAAGAGTGCGGACAAAACGAGATCCAAAATCTTAATATGTGGTGAAGAGAGCAATCATAACTGGATTTTCCAATCTCAGAACACCTCGGTCGGAAAGCACATTAGGAATTCATTTCGTTCATCCCTCTTTATTGGGGAGGGGGCTGGCTGGGAAGTAGATCTAAATTCTTTAGAAAACAAGACAAATAATATTAATAATAACTGCTAGACAGCACAAATCTTCAACAGCTAAGCACACGCTTATGGACAGAGGCATCGGGAGTCCCACCTCAGTTATGGTCACTATTTCATTTCGGCAGTTGTCCAGCTGTGCCTGCAATTCGTTCTGGCTCTCCACCAGCTGTAAACCGTACTGCGCGGCCTTCAGCCGCTCCTCCTCAACCTCTCTGAGCTTGCACCGCAGGTCGGCGATGACATCTGCCTCCATAACTTCTTTCTGTCCCTCTCTCCTGCAAACAGAGAAAGTAAAAGTACTTAAGCTTAAACAAAACACTCCAGGTAATGATATCAATTAATATACATTTACATATATATTCTATGACTGCCATATAAAAACACAGCATTGAAGATTTTTCTTCCCGACTTTTAAGTGGTCGCATTTACAGTCTTTTTCTAAGGGTGTCTGACGGTTTTATTACCTGATTTGAGACCAAGTCAAAAAGAGCAGAAAAAGGTGACTACATTTCATTTTGCTTCTAAGAAATGGCATACAAGGAAACTGTTTAGTTGTTCTGTGCTAAGTTTCCTTGAATGCTAAGGTAGGGTAGGTCTCCCAAGTATATCGTTACACAGGTAAACCAGGTAAGAGAAGAATGAAAGAAATCAGCCACTTTATGGCAGCATGCCTGGTACTTAACGTAGAAAAAGGGGGCACTGACTGAAGGAAGAGCTCTGGTGTCTGTGGTGTTTCCCAACAGTGTTAACTTCCTGCACGAGTTAGATTTGCCACATTAAATGTGCGTCATTGAAAACAGACTCACTGGTGCTTTCCTAGTTACTCATAAGAGGGCCCACAAAACGGCAACCACGCTCGCAGCAATTAAAGAACCCTGCTGTCATTTTAGATGATCAGTGAGGGCTTCGATACATACAGAAACGTGCCGCTTTAACTCAGTCTCAGTCAACATCCTCTGCAAGTCGGTGGCAGGCCTTTTAGGCCACACTCAAGCTCAGCTTTGCCTTCGAAGAGCCACATGCCACGTTTACGGCAGTCCCCAATGGCTGCAGTCAGCGAGTCAAACACTACTTGAGTGACTTACACGCTGGGCTCCATTCTGACATACGTCAGACATACCAGAGGTCCAATGAGCCAAAAAACCACCACCACCACCACCAAAAAACACAAACCAACAACCCCCTCCTCTTTCGTGAAGCTTACCTTCCAGTGGGAAAAGATAACAAAATAATAAATTAGAATACAAGAAATAATTAGAAAGTAGAAATTAAAAAAAAAAAGAACAGGACACAGGAATTTACAAGAGGTGTGGGTATTGTCACTGGGATGGAATTAAAATAAGTATTGGAGTGGGAGGAGGCCCTCAGGTGGCTTCTGAGCAAAGCCTTGCAGCAGGTAAGAGATTACTCATGCGCCTATTTTGGGGAACAGTGTTCCAGGCAGAGGGGTAGCACAGCCCAAGGATGAACGAGATAGAGTTTAGCTCGGGAGACATAACAGGGGAGAACAGGCAGATCAGGCCACTGTAAGGACCTGGGCGTCTCTTCTGGGTGAGAAGGGGAGTCACTGAAGAGCCTGAAACAGAGTTCGGAGATATTTAAAAGGATCCTTCGGCTGCCATGTTGAACAGTTCGGAGGGTAGTGAGTTGGATGCAGGAAGAGCAGGCGAGATGACCACTCACACCAGGGTGGCTGCATGGGAGGTGAGAAATGGCCAAATTCCACATGTATCTTGAATGTAAAACCAACATGACTTCCTGGCAAATGGAATGTGGGATGTGTGAAAAACAGAGGTCAAAAATGCCTCCAAGGTTTCTGGCCTGAGCAACTAGAATGGATTTGCCATCAGCTGAGGAGTTTCCTCACATCAAACTGTGAGTCAAGATTGTTTTGGAAAGAAAACTGGGAGCTTAAGTGACATGAAATATGCCAAGTAAGCAGTTGGCTACATGAATAAGAGAGGGGTCTGGGCTGAATTCATAAATTTGGGAGTTATTAGCATAAATCCTTGAACCTTGATATCAAACGTGGGCCAAGGAATGAGCCCTGATAAGAGATAGGAAAGAAGAAGAGTATACACAGGCATGACCAGTGAGGTAACAATGACACCAAGAGCATGTGTTGCCCACCAAGCTGATAAACAGAAGTCCATACAAGAGGTACATGGGATGAACTGTACCAAATACAAAGTCAAATAAGGTAAGAACTGAGAACTGGCCTTGGACTTGAATTCAGGGAGGCTGTCATGACCCTAAGAGCCGTTCTGGTGGATAACTGGAATGAGCTGGACGAAGAATGGCAGAAGGACAGGAGACAGCAGGTACAGTTTTGCTGCCCAATACAGTAGACTCGTGGGGTAGTAGCTGGAGGGGAAGTAGAATCAAATATATTTTGTTTTATTTTTTAAGACAAAAACACAACATCAGGGAAAATAAATTAATAAAATAGAAAGTTTTAGGGAAAAATTAACAGTATGCTTGTATGCCATGGGATAGACCCAGGAGAGAAGAAAACCGATGATATAAAAGACATGGCGAACTGCTGGGGTGATGAAGAGGGTGAGGTCAAATGGACAGGGGCTGATTTTAGACAGAAGGGTGAATATTTCCTCGAAAGCAAATTTTACATGTGCGTTGATAAGTAGGGAGATATAGTGCCCTTCTAACTAAACTGAAGTGCTACTTCAATTTATCTGTGAATTAGGAAGCAAGGTCTTTAACTGAGACTGAAGATAGGAGAGTTTTGGAAGACAGAGAAAAACAAAACACATATCCTACATTATCCAAGGCTCTAAAATGCAAGAGCTTTCCAAAGCCAGCACATGATGGGGTCAGCTGCTAATTTTTGCACTGTTAACATAATTTATACTTGTAGAGGATTTACCATTGGCCAGGCACAGTGCTTCAAATGCATTATCTCATTTAATTCTCGTGATGGGCCTTAGTTATCAACATTTACCAAAGAGAAAATGGAGCTAGCCTCTAGACATCCCAGTCATAATGTCCGAAGAAGAAAATTAGCTCTCATTCATTCAAAGGATTTCCTGGAATTCCTATCATGTGTCAAGTAGTGTGCTCTTGCTGAGAACACAGTGGTGACCCCAAAACTAGACAATCACCCTGACTTTTTGAATCTTACAGTCTATGGGTGGAAAGGCATTAAATCAAATAATTGAACTGTAAAGTTACAAGTGTGATTAAGAGCAACAGAAAGAGCTGTATCGTGCTACTGGAGCTGTATCGTGCTAACAGGGGAACCGTCCCAATCTATATATTGGTTTGGGGTGGGGCAGGGGAGAATCCAGACAAGAGAGATTTCCCTGAAGAAGTGACTTGTCAGCAGAGGTCTAATGAATATGAGTTAATTTACTGATCTGCAAAGAGAGATAGCCAGAGCTCAATAACAACTAGGGCTAATATGTGCCAGATATTAGGCCTGGTGCTTTGCTTACTTTATCTTATTTAATCCTCGACTACCCCTTGAAAAATAAGGTATTTGCCCCATTTACACATTTGCAAAGTGAGGCACAGAAAGGTTAAGTAACTTGCCCAAAGGTTATCAGCTACTAAGTGGCTATGAGGCCTGGGATGGAGGGCCCAGCTCCACGGCCTAGTGCCCCTAACCATTCTTTGTTCTGCCCCTCGGAAACATGCATGCACAAAGCATTTGGGAGACTGGAAGCTCAGTTCTTACCGATGCCCAGTTCTTACCGAACTTGGAAAACTTGTTGACTTTTTCCCTTTGATTGGAGTGGTTTTTCAAGCGTATATTTCTATGCTACATGATCTGTATATTGTGCTGTGTGTCCACCACCCAAAATCAAATCTTCTGTCACCATAGATTTGGCCTCCTTCACCCTTTACTTCCCCCTCTGGTAACCACCAGTCTGTTGTCTGTGTCTGTGAGTTTCCATTTTATGTCCCGCAAAGGGTGAAATCATATGGTTCCTAGCTTTTTCAAACTGACTTCTTTTGCTTAGCATAATATTCTCAAGGTCCATCTATGTTGTCCCCAATGGCAGTACTTCATCTTTCTTTACGGCTGAGTAGTATTTGGACAATTTATTTAATGTCTTGTTTTGTCATCATAAAATAAGGACAATAACATCTACCTAAGAGTTTTGAAGAAGACTAAACCAGCCAATGGGTGAAAAGCAATTTGGGCAGAATCCCACAAGCAGCGTAGGCAGCCGCACTGTTCAACAGAAACATCATGTGAGATACATAGTGGTTTTTAATTTTCAAGGAGACACATTAAAAAAGGTAAATACTACTGAAACTCATCCGAATGTCACTTAATCCAATACACCCCAAATATTATCATTTCGATACATAATCATTATAAACTTCTGAACGAAATGTTCCTCTTTTGTGTAGTCTTCGAAATTCACTGTGTATTTGACATCTGTAGCATGTCTCATACTGGACCCCGTAGATCTAATGTCTGTTAACCTCCGGAGGCTCAGGCAGCCAACCAGGCTTTCCATTCTCATGCAGAATTCCCCGGGGAGCGGGCGAGGGGGATGGGGGCGCGGCGAGGTGGCCCAACAGAAAACTGAAACCGACTCAGAACCTGGTGTACGAGAACTCGGGAGTCCGCAGAAGCCGCTGTTCTGGCTAAAGGCCTCGGCTGAGACCCGGGTCCCAGGTTTCCTTAGGTCCTCTCTCCCCGCCAGAAGCCCTCCCTACGCTGCTCCCCACCGCTCCTCTCCACGCACACTCCTTCCAGGCCCTCCACCCCTACCTCCAGCACTCCTCTCCTCGCTGCAGCCGGAGGCAGCTCGTGCTGAGAGTTCACCGGGCCCAGTTTCGGGAAGGTAGCTCAACTTGGCACAGAGACATCAACCCATTCACTCCAGAGCGCCCGAGTCAGCGCCAGGGTTTTTTGAATGCTGTTCTCGCGAGAACACGCACTTCTCACGAGAGGTTCCGCCCCAGCCTAGTCCGTCCCACTGGGTGCCCCGCCCACGAGCTGAGACTGCGCAGGTGCAGGAGGAGGGCTGTGGGCTGAGAGTTGCGCGTAGGTGTTGGTCGTTTCGTCAAGTTTACCCTGAATGGGCGCTCTGGGTGTCTTGCGGGTGTCCCCTTGTGGTTGCGGGGCTTTCTTTTTCAAGCTACAGTACCTTTTGGAGAAACTGTGTCACCAGAAGGTGAGGCAGTGGGTAGTTCTGAGATGTGCCGGCCTCTTACCCCGACCAGCGCGCTGGCCAGTGTGGGCTCTGAGGGGCCTCACCGCTGGTACCTCACATGGTTCCAGGAGTCGGAGTCAGCGGGACAGTGCCTAAAACTGTCGTAGGACAGAATCTCAGGCACTTTTAGAAGACAGACTGATGGTTATTATAATGGCGTTAACACATGAGCCTTCCCCACGTGCCAGTAGGGTGCAAAAGATAAACACGGATTATCTCTACCACATTTTGCCCTCTATAATGCACACTTTTTGCCCAAATTTTTGTGGGAAAAACAAAAATGCGCGTTATACATGGGTAGTACCAATTCTATATCTACATAAATGTTTTAAATTATTTTATTTATGCTTATTCATTGAAACTAACTCTAAAAGGCAATGATGATATTCCAGATGCAAAAATAATACCCTGGTATAAGAGAATCGGTTTCGTTTCTAAATATAAATAAATTAAAAATTCAATTAAGGAAAATGAAAGATTTTTTCCCCTGAAAGTTTGGGCCAAAAACATGGGTGAGTATTATACACTGGAGTGCATTATACGTGGCGAAATACGTAGGCTCTCTAACAGCTTTCTGAGGGTGGTACTATTACCCTCTTTTTCTTCAGAGGAAAACAAAGCCCCAAGAAGAAAAATGTCTTGGCCCAGTGATAGGATTAGAATTCGAACTGACACGGTCTGTTGCTAGAATCCAAGCTCGTGTGTGGGTGTGTTTAAATAACAAATTTATGTTTTGTAAACCTGATGCCTATTCCTTATTCAAAAAGTTAAGTAATCAGAAATAGTAATAGCCAAAGGAGCACTTCTGAATCCTAGCTACTGTTTCACGGATGATGTGTTTCTGAGTCGATCTTGACATTGGACAGAGTAGATTGCTCTCCTTGAGCTTCCCTTTAGGTTTTGGGGTGCCTTGCCCTCCTCACTTTCCTCTTCCCAGTTTCCTTTGCAGACTTTTATTTGTGATTGAGCCAGGCCACATCATAAAGGACTGAGCTGGGCTGACTGAGTGCACTGAAGGGTAATTAACAAAATCCTACAAGCTACCCATATTATAATTCAGTTCATTCTTTAGGAACTGTCTGGATGATGTAGGGCCACTACCACCACTGAACACTAGATGTCACAAGTGAGATGAATTCGAAATGTCCCTACTGGGATAAATTGCCTAAGGTTCACCTGAACCTTATACACCTGAAATGAATATAATACTGAATGTCAAATGTAACTGAAAAAATAAAAAAGCAACTGAAACATAAAAAAGGACAAGCAATTAGACTACAGTCCCAGCGGCAGGTCTACAAGTGCAGATGAGGTCCGAGTACCACCCACTAAATGTCAAAGATAAGGGAAAAAACATGTATGTGTTTTTTCAATTTCTATATCAATCTATCAATTTCTATAAAGAGAGCTGCAACTTTGCCTCCTCACATAGAATGGTGGGTTCACCAAGCAGAGCAAGGAAATGTTGATGCTGTAAAGCAACCACCCACACACATCAATACAATTCCTAATATTATAGCTGTTCAAAACTGGGATAGACTGATACTGTAAACTGGCCATCATTTCTTCACTATGACCATTAGCTATCACTGCTCTGGTTATCAGAAATAGTGTTGCATTGTACTGAAAGCTGTGCATGTTTTGACAGGAACTGAGTAAGTCTGGTTTTGGTGCCACAGGTGAATAACCTCTGTCCTCGGGGAACTTAGAATTTAGTGGAAGGGGCATTTACCAAGCAGTAAACCCTACTCAGAACATGGTTTAAACATTCTTGGCCCTTCATATTATGAAGTAAAACTCCAAGCTAGTCTTTTTGGGCCCAAGCAAAAACAAGCCCAGGACTCTGAGACACAAGATTCTCAAATAAGAGCTGAATTAATTTACAAAGTTTCCCGATTCAGAGGATGGGCCAGGAGATGAGGTGTTTGAAGTTATACTCAAGATTTTGAAACCTGAAGAATGGCAGGGATCAAGAAAAAGAGATGGGGGAGGGAGAGAGAGAAGAAGGAAGAGGAAGGAGGAGGAAGAGGAGAGAGAGGAGGGGAGGGGACCCGACATGCAGGGCTTTGGTGACTACTAATTCATGAAACAGAGGGAGAACAAGGATCTGACAAGGGAAAGAGAAGGGCCACCTGAGAAGACAGGAAATTGAATTGTCCCAGCCCCCTGTGTGATAATTTGGCACCAGAATGAATCATTGTAGTTATGCAAGGAGGCAGGCTTGACTATTTAAGAGTCATAATGACAGTGACGGCCCAGGCTGCAGCCTCTTCCTGGCCCTGCTGTGTAGAACACCAGCTTCAACTCTTCGTGAGCCCTGTTGCTCTGCTCCTTTCGCCCTGGACAGAGACTGTCCTCAAAGGCACATCATTCCAGTATCGTGCACCTTTATTGGTTAAATTCCCAGGGTCAATTCCCTCCTCCTTTTTCTGCCAGAAGCATTGTGATTATTCTTTGGGCAAGTCATCTTCCCCTCCGCTCTCAGCTATGTGGATTGTTTAAAATGGATCCTACCCTTCCGCTTCAGAGCATCCCATCACTCTGGTTATAATAATTAGTTCAGAGATGTGCCTGTGACTGAATCCAAGTCAATGAAATAGAATCAGGTATTCACTAGGACTGCTGGGAAAATGGACTTTGTTAATCCCTTCTGTCCTTAAACTTTTCGGCCCAGAGTTGCCAGCTGCCATCTTGGATCCGTGAAACTCAAGTCTGCTTGAAATGAAATCAAAAGCAGAGCTGATAAATAGAGAGGGAGAAGTGAGTTCTGGTCATGCCGTTTGGGACTTACATGGGGCTCTTCTCGAAGCTTGAGTTTTATCTCTAAACAGTTGAATTTTCGTGCAAATGAATTCAATTTGAGTTTGCATGTTACTTGCAACATAAAGGGTTTTAAGCAATATACTCCAGAAATACTTTTGTCTGTCTTTAGGACTAAGTAACTGGTCAAGGTCCTATGCTACATTTAGGATTTTTTGAGGCTAACCCTGAAATGTGCTAACTTTCAGGGGTGGAATCTAGTGATGTCTCCTCCAAGTGTAAAGCCTTGGTTGAACCAGAAGGAAGGTTCATCCTAAACGAAGGAGCCTCATGTACAGTGGAAGAAAATAAGGGCCCAGACAGCTTGTGTGTAACTCCTTTCTTGGCACCACTTCAAGTTACTATTAAGCTGTTAAGTTGACTAAAGCTTAACCCTGTTAAGCTGGCTTCTTCAGGCAATTTTGCCACCTAAGCCATTTAGAATTAAGACCAAATATTTGCATTTTTACTTGCCAAGAATACTACCTACTCTAGTTTTATACAACGTATGTTTCAGACTATAAGCCACACTCCCCCCTAAATCTGGAAGGAATAATGATTGTTAATGCTGCTGTTGAGTGCTTGCATTTGCATTGATAAAATATTATGTTATTTATATTATTAAATAATTTGCTACATTTTTTGCTTCAAAAAATTAATTTTTCTATTTTCCTCTAAAACCTAGGTGCGTCTTATGGTCTGAAAATACGGTGTGTGTGTGTGTGTGTGTGTGTGCTGATTTTGCAGCTATTCACAAGACTATAGTTGCTGTTTATGATTTTCTTATCTTCCAACACCCATTGCACATTCCCTTTATTTCCTGACATTGCCTCAGAAAGTAGTAATTGAGGCTCTTTATCCAGTACAGAGACCCACATCCACACTGCTGAATAAAACATATTCACTAATGGCTCATATTACTTACTCTTTGGATGGCCTCAATTTATTCGGTATGACTCAAAGTGGGCTGGGATTAAACTCAGGCTCCTATTCTTTCTCTGAGAGCTTGAGCCTGTCATGCTGCTTTTCTGTGTGTGTGTATGAGTGAATTCAGTGGAAAGAAGTATGACTGCTTTGATGTTGTAATGCTTACTTTAATGTATTTTATTCTAGGGAAATCAATTTGGGAGTGCACACAATACAAGAAGAAATTGATAAATTAACTCCCCCAGGTAAGCAGCTGAATACACCTGTTCAGTACTACTCGCCTATAAGCTACCTCCTGCCTGTCACCACTAGGTGGCAATATTTGCAAATTTTTTAATCTGAAGGTTGGGTATTTCTGTTACAGAAGTTAGATTCTGTTGGCAGAAATGGTTACCTTCCTAGTTTCATCTAAAAGGTTAGCTAAACACATGTATTTATTATAACCCGCACTTTTTGTCATTTGATATCACCATTATTTCTCATCTGGAGTACTGTTCTCCTACTTGGTAGTTCACTCCGTGCTATAGACAGAATTGCATTCACCCAAAATTCATATGGGGAAGCCCTAACCCCTAATACGACTGTTTCTGTAGATCAGGGCTGCAAGAGATAGTTACAATTGAATAAGATCTTAAGGGCGGAGCTCTAATTCAGTAGGACTGGTAACCTTAAATGGGTGGGGGGGTAGGAGACAGATCTCTCTTTCTTTCTCTGTGTAGCACAGAAGAAGGACCCTGTGAGTACTCAGTGAGAAGGTGGTGAGCCAGGCAGGGAGCCCGCCACAGGAACTGACTTCCCAGCCTGCAGAACTGCGAGGAATCAATTTTATTTAAGTATTTTGTTATTGCATCCTGGGCAGACTACTATACTCCATCTCATCCTTTTCTTTGGAGAGGCCCTATGACTAATGGTTAAGAATAAAACACTTATTGTATTGGAATTAGCATCTGGGTTCAATTGCAGGCTCTAAATAG